GTCAGAAGTGGTGAACTTAACAGAAACAGTAATTTGTAACTGTCTGGAAATACGTAAAATATGTAAGAGTGGAAAGCAAGATACAGCTGTGACCTGATGGGGAGTACTAGAGAAAAGTTGCTTAGGAGTTTAAGTATTAAAAATTTTAAGTTTGAGGGATGCTAGATTCTCATTTCTCTGTTGCATAAAAATGCAAATGGAAATCTACTAGCAGGTTCCCCCGGTGTTAAGTTGGCAGCCAAAGTCAGTCAGGCATTGTGTGAAAGACTTGTTGGAGACACTCTTCTCTCTGGGTGTGCTACAGTGATTAGCAATTAAAAGTTGCTCTTAAATTTTTTTACATTTGATTCTCAAACAAGTGAGCGGGCCACTCTAGCCCCAGCCTGAAGACACTGAAATCAAGGTAATGGGGATCTTTGCAATATTAGCCACCCACGTGAGGTACAGCAGAAAACTTAGGCAGAACTGGTAGCTTCCTTGTCATCAAAGTGAACCAGCTGCCGCCTGAGCACCACGCGCTACCACGCACCCGGGCTGCGTTCTTAAAGGGTGGCTGCCTTACACCAGTTCGTAGTGGAAACTGGCCCTGTAGCCTGTGGGTGTACAAGTGCCGCACTGGAACCGGTAATGGCCTTTCCATCTGCGCCGGCTCAGCGCAGAAGTAAGCGTAGAGCTGGGTACACAACAAACGCTGGTGGGGTGGCCTTGGCTTGGTATTCATGAAGACTGCTTAGCTTCTCTGTAAAAGCAGAGAAGGCAGGAAGAATAAGGGCTACAAAGTTGTTTGGAGGGTTTGAATGATTTGCTGCCCCAAATGATTTTGTTGCCCAGAGACTAGTGGTTTTGGAGTATAGACCAGAGCACAGGCAGAATGAATATATGTTTGAACAGAAGATAGAATTGCTATAGTGTTTTGCTCATTTATTTCTCATTCTTGATGCCTTGTTACAGTGATGATTCCTCGCACACACACGTGGCCAGTTCTGTGACCTGGATGCTGGAAGGAATTCCCCCACCCAGTTCATACTGGCATGACAGTGGTGAGTTTGCTGTTTCCTCAAACACACACAGAGGCAGATGTCCACTCAGGTCATGGACAACTCCAGTTCCTTAACTCTCAGCAGAAAATGAGGCATTGCTTGGGCTTTGGCCTTTTTCCCAGCAGCTTTCTACAGTTTTCACAATTATAGTGCAGTTTCTCCTGTGACAGAGGAATTTGTGTCTCATTCCCAGTTGAGCTAGACTTCTCAGGGCATCATTTTGATTTTGCCCACAGAGAAATGTAAAAATCCTGTAAAGCATGGAATTCCTGTTGTGCTACAATGTGAATTTAAAACTTAACACCTCAAATCTGTTACAGCCCTTTAACTTGTGCAGCTGGGATTGACAGTGAAGCCAGACTTCTGGACTGCACAATTTCCTGGCCTCCATTTTATAGCAAGAAAAAGAAGGATATGGGAAAGGCATCTTTGAGAAAGATCATCCAAACACTGGGATGATATAAATGCCAGTGAAGTTAAGATCTAGTTTGATGGGGGACGCTGCCTGTCTGCATCAGTGTCTGTCGGGACTCCTTGAGGCATCAGAGGATGTCACTCTTCTCATATAGAAATTTTTAAATGCTGCTTTTCCACCTTTTCCTCACTTTCCTTTTCTAATTTGAAGCTATGTTCAGGCATGTGAAAACAAGCCTTCAGTGCCTTGTTTCCAAGCCAGTCTTGGAAAAATGTCTAACTTAACAGTGTGACCTGTGTGGCAGCGAGGCTCTTGCAGGCTACTGTGACTGCAGCACACTCATGGACTAGGAATCTATTCGCGTAGACAGGTAATAGGTTCTACTTACTTATTGTTCTCTTCTGTAGCTGCAGGTTGGAGAGTTTTCTGCAGAGTTCACTGTAGAAACTAAACAAGCCACTTGGAAGCAGAAGCAAATTACTTTTAGCAGTGTCATCAGAAAATCAATTGCCATGCACTCAGGCTGTCATTTTATATATGTGCCAATTCAATGCCTTATGTTGACAATTGTTTTTCATGCTCCTCCCCATCGTTTAGTTTTGCTGCTGTGATCTCTCTCCCCCAGCCTTAGGGAGGCTACTGTGCAGTTTCCTTAGCATAATTTCAACCGACTGCTCAAGAAGAATCGCTGCTCTGCCAAGCTGCTAAGCAGCTCCTGTGAGCAGACCTTGACAGCAGCCCTACAGTTTGCCATCTTGCCTTTCCTAACTTGAAGAAGTGATTTCCTAAGCTGGTTTTCTATTCCCGCTACTGAGAAATAAGGCAACCAAGTGATACAGACACCACGGGGATGAAAAATGCCACAGCCCCCTTCAGGGACAATGGAGATACAACTAGAGCACATTTTAAAAAGTACAGATAAGGATGACATGTCATGTGCTCTGAATTGCAAATAAACCATCAGTGCTCATGTTTTAATGACATTTCAGATAGTACCTGTCTAGCTACTTGAAAAATCTGTAAATTTTGGGCAAAGGATTTTGAAGTTAGTTATTCTTCTGGTAGGAGTTAAACAGCACTGATTTCAAGCAGGGTTTTTCAAGGGAAATAAAGAGCAGATAAAATGCAACTCAACTCATTTTTATGTTAAGAATGGTAGCAAACATGCTCAAAATGTACTGGCTTTTTGTAATGTCACTTTTAAAAAATAAATATTTTTGCCATTTAAGTATTTTTTTTTGCTCAGAATAGAAATAAATCCCATTTTTCTTCAGTCACAACATGCTTTCTTTTTCTCTCTTTTTTTTTTTTAAGATGTCAATTAGTCATGCAAAGTTTTATAAGTGCATTAACATTCAAGTTTGTACAGAATATTTTTAACCAGACGCACTCCCCACAGTTCATACCTACAGCTTCTGAAAAACTACATGCCACAGTGATGGTTGAGTTCTGTTTGGAAAAAAATTGGCTACCGCATGAGCCAGCTGTTGGAATAAGACCCACATGATTCTAGCTTCCGTCTCACAGTCTGTAAAATTTCTCCTTGACTCCCACTGTGATGAATCCAATAGTAGTAACAGGAAAACACCTTCTAGGAGAAAAAACTGTCTCTGGCCAGTGACTGGTAGATTTGGGAATAAATGTTGCTTCCCTGAACAGTGGTCTTAATAAAGCCACAAGCAGCTTCTTTGAAAGTCTAAAACTGGTACCACTTTTTGTCCTTGTATTTCAGCATCACCTACAGAAATGGGAAACAAAACAAATGGATATAAAACACTGCTCTGCATATGAGGTATCACATATGACCTAGGCCCATTAAATAGCACAAATTTCATAAGTAAAAAAAGGAAGAGCAATGCTGTGCTTTACCAACAGTGTCGTCAAGTCTTGAGCCCACTGAGACTTTGTATTTAATTTCATAATTGTTAAATTTTAAAAAAAAATAGTTACTTGATATTGCTGTTCATTAAAAGATTTAACTACTTTTCTTCTGCAAAAAGTACAGAGGTATGGGAATAACCAGGAACTTTTTACTCCTATAGAAAGAAGCTTATCTATGGAGCATAGTAGATATGCCCTGAATATATAAACTTTTTGCATTTCTGGGCACTTTCTTTCTGTGTATTTTTACCTCACACTTAAAAAAGCCAATAAAAATGTAAAGGTCTTATCCAGAGACATGATGCATGTTAAATGAAAAAACATGCATTTTGGGAAGTATTCTTTAATGTTGTTTTATCTTCAAGGAAAATCACTTTAGTTGATTCCCAGCCTTAACAGTGTGGGATGGAAGAGCTTTCCATTTCCAGCTCTAAGCAGAGAAGCTGTCTGTTCCAGGCGAGCCCTATTCTATATAACTGTACCACAGTGTTGTGCTAGAAATGTTCTCCTCTTCTTCCCAAGAAGGTCTGTAAAGGTTCCTATATACCCATTACCTACCTGTTTTCTGCCCTACTGCATAGATGTGTGCACTAAGTGGCTTAAAAAAAAATCATAATGAATTAGTGAGAAAGGCGAGAGATGAGAAGTGCCATGTTCTAAATTCAGAGGCTAACTGGATGCTCATTTATGAAAAGCTCGTTTATGAAAAAATGAAAGGAAGGGGTGTGCAATGGAACTTTATTTTCGGCATTCTCGTTGTTTGGGAGCCGGAAAAATGGCATGTCAGTTAACATGAGTACACCTAAAACAACATGCCTGCGTGAATGGGGAGAACCGTACTTGACTTTCCCAAAGGGAAGCAAAGGCTCAGCTGCAGGGTTGGCGGTTCCTAGTTCTGGGTGTGTGGTGCCAGGGCCCCTACCTCGTGTGCATGTTTGGAAAACGCCTCTGCACTGGCCATCATGCTCGCAGTCCTTTCATCCAGCTCTCCCAGTTTCTGTCCTCTCTCATCAAGGGCAATGCGTGCACGAGTCAAGTCCCCAATGACTCCTCCTGCGGCTCCTCTCACGCCTTCAATTCCACCTGATCCAGGGATGTGCTGGGCAAGACTGCGAGAGGCTTTTCCTGCCGTGGCCTCGCCAACTGCAAAGGAGAAATGGACAAACAGACAGGAATGAGTTCCTGGCCGTGGCTCTGTCAGTGCTTCTTGTCCTCGAGCTGCAGCCTTGCAGCGGTGATGCCATTTGATGTGCAGATGGCACGTGTGGAAGACTGCTCTGTGCACTGGCACAGACAGTGCAGTTGTGGGCCCCCCCCCAATTGCTCAAAAGAAGCTGCCAAGGTGGAGGAATCATGGGAAGGCAACTTCCCATAGGAAGGACCCTCCCCTTTCTTCATGATGTCATCTTTATTTTTTCATTGATGATCTAAATCTTGCGTACCGCTCCATTGCTAGATGACAAGGGCAGGGGATCCCACGAATTAAGTTCTGCCAAAAAAAACCCCAATAAATGACTTACAAAGCTCCTCTCTGTCAAAAGCTTGTCCACTTCCTCCAAAAAGTCCTTTGAGAAAGCCTCTGTTTTGGGCTTCTGGAGTTTCCACAGGAGTAAACAAATCCCCAAGCATGTCCTAGCAAAGTCAGACAAAAGTTCACGTGAAAAATTAGTGAGGTGAAAGCAGGTATAGGTGTTTTCTTTATTTGCATTAACGAGCCACATGCATTGCATCTAATCAACTAGTTTTAAAAGAGTCTGTTGTGTGAACGGTATTGAGTACTTAACATTGGTGTTTCATGACAGGCAAATACTTGGGCTAGCTAGATTCACTTATGCTTTCAAAAGGACTTGGTTTGTCACTGCCCAATCTTATGTTCATTACCACAGAGAAAAAAATTCATAAGCAGTACAGAGTAAAAATACCAGTGATAAGATCACATTTTGCTTAGAAACAGCAGAGGCGACGCTATAATTGAATAAACAATTTGTTGTGAATTACCTGTTTTGCTTTAGTGATTATCCAGGCAAGCAGGGCAGTCACTCTCTGTTTTCTCTTTATAGCGTACCTGAGTTCCGTGCTTTCTAGCAGTTCAGAGAGTTTGGTGGTTTGTTTTTTAAACAAAATCCCATCACCTTCCATACAACCTCCCCCCTTCCCCAGTAACAGTGCGTGTTGTCAGTGCCGTCAGTAATGCTAAATAAGCATGTCTGCTGAAGGCACTGTCATGGTGCCAGATCTTGGAGCAGTCAACCCAAACAAATCTCAGGCTCAGATTTATTTGCAGCAGTACTAGGAAAAGTGGGCTCTCCAGAACAAAACTGATAAAGAAAGCGTGCAGCCCCATTAGTGAGGCTGTGTGCACTGAGAACAGTTGCTGCCCTGTTGCTCAGCTCTGTGTTTGCTCATCCAAGCCTCAACAGGCAGATACAGCTGTTGTGCTGCACAAAGCACTCGGCCCCCGGGAGGCTGCGTGCTGGGACAGCGCTGTGACTCACACTTACTGCTCCTCTGCACAGTCACCTGCTCTAGGGAGAAAAATTGCTGCAGCCCTTCCAGCCTAAGTGGAGGCTCTCGTGCAGGCTGGCTTTGTTTTCCTAGGTAGCAGGTGATACTGGGTCATCTGCTTTTTGTACACATGTAATGACTGTGCAAGTCTTTTATTGACCCTCTTTGCATAAAAGCCGAGAGGCAAGCAGCCACAGTCCGGCAGTATAGAGAAGCAAGGGCTGTGTTTCCCTTTGGTTGGTTGTCGTATGATGCTTTTAAGGTTAATAAAAAAATATCTAGCTTGTAGCAGCCCCTCACTATAGGTCCATATTCTAAGATATATTGATCAAACCTTTTGATCATTTTAAAATTGGTTCCCTGCAAAATAATCTCTTCTCCAGTGCGCGAAAGCTTGTGTGCAATGCTCACTCCTCACCGTGCTTTTTCGGCCTTGATGCAGACAGTGCTGTTGATGTGAGTTGAGCAGCGCAGCACATGTTATTCCCTAGGGCATAATGAGTGCTGGCAGGACCATTTCTTTTGTATTTCTAGCCTAGTTCACTGCTAATCATATAACCTAGAACTTATTCCCCCTCTTTTTTTCCCTTTTATTACTCATGTTCCTCCCTGTAAACTCTCACAATTCCTCCTCTTCAGTAAATGACATTTTAATTTGCATTTTCATTGTAAAAAAAAAAAAAACAACAACCCAAACCTAACATTGTAGAGACCCTTTGCTCAAAATAAATTATTTTAATTAGACCATTTCTATAGCTACTATATTTTAATGTACAATGGGAGATGCTTTCCTCATGTGGAAGAAGGGGAGTACCAATGATTGGAGTAAAAACAATGGTAAATAATTAAAAAAAAATATTAAAAGAGAGCATATTTTTTGATACTAACCACACTGGTTTGTCTCATGCTCCCACCTAGCTACTGAAAGCTGCAGGTAATTAAGATATTTTTAGAGTTAAAATAAAAAATGATAAAAATACGGGAAGGAATTCTTATTTTCACTGAGGTAGTTGCTGTGTGGTTGGACACACGCTGGTACCAACTGCTGTAGCTGCTATCCATTTGTAGCTTCCCCTTCAGTCATTTTTAACAGTTGGTCTTTCGTATGGGAGGACTTTGAGGGAAGCAGGCTGTGAAGAGTCCCATTTGGGCACAAATCTGCCTCTGTACGGAGCCAGCAGAGATTGCAATTACGTGCGGGCAGGCTGTAGGCTCGGGCCAGCCGTTAGGGCACAGGAGCAAGGTGACAGTGCCATGAAAAAGTCAAAGAGCGACAGAGCTGCTGACCTTTCTGCTGCTTTGGCATCATTCTGCCAGGGCAAGTGGAGAGGAACATGTCTGTCCTGCTCCCGCAGCACAGCCTTCACTTCAAATACTAAAATCTAGCAGTAAACACGTGGCAATTTACATCTGACAAGTCAGGCCACTGGCCCTCCCACACAAGCACAAAGGCACCAAGGTAAGGATTTGAGCCCTACCTGCAGATTGTCACACATCTCCTGGCTGTACGTCAGGCGCTGGATCTCTGTGGGAGAGCTGAGATACAAAGCTTGCCCTTCGTTAGTGAAACAAAAGGTCCGCGCTATCCTCATGTCTGTTACAGGCAAATAGTTGATGTCCAGCAGTGGGCGAAGGCTGGGCAAGCTGAAGAGAAGCAGATACCTAGGTTAGTCGCCAGTTGCCACACAATGGTACACCTGCTCTGTGGCTGCACTTCAAACCAACGTTTAAGTTTATGCTTTTCATAACCGGAATAGTTAAAGTGCAGCTCTACGCGGAAAAATTCTGCCATAAACATGCTGCCTTCCCGTCATACTTTGTTTCCCTGCACGGAGAAGTTTCAGCTGCCTTGCTGCAATGACCCTTAGGCTTCTGCTACTGCCTGGATTTGGGCTGTGCATGTGACACAGTATGGCTCGTGCCACGTGGCTGGGCAGTTTGCAGGGTAAGGCCTACCCCCAGCTATTGCACGGGCAGCTGCAGGAAACGGCATGGCAGGGCCCTGCTCGCACCCTATGGACAAAGGCTCCAGCATCGCCTTTGCTCTCCTCCAGCTTCTCCTGGTGCACCGTTTTGGACAGCACTTTCCAAAATTTAAATGGCCTGGCTGGGAAAGGGAGCGCAGCAAGGCGAGGGCGTGACCACAGGCCTGCTGCACAGTCAGCTCAATGGTGGAGATGACAAGGAAGGGAAACCAGGTGCTCTGAGCGGAAAATCTTCCGAAACGGCAAGAGTGGGACTTGCTGCTTCACACTGGATAAACAGTACCCCTTCTATGCCTGACTTTTTCTATACTCCTCTATACCTGACTTACCATAACTGAACAAAATTATCAGGGTTTTCTTTCAGGATAGTTAAAAGTCAAGAGCCATCAGCTGACATGGGTGGGGGATTATTATGAAATAAAGGAGTTTGCTTTGCTGTGCAGCTGCCTTAACTCCCCGCGTGGAGACAGGCCAAGGAACAGGTATGGCAGCGGGCAAGGCAGGGCATTAAATGCACCCACCAGGGAGTTAATGCAGAGCATCAGACACTCTGGAGCAAACACGAGTGGAACGTGACAGCACTGTGCCACCTCTTTGCTTAGTTTTGCCACAAGATTAGTTAGATAAGTACCTCAGTGTCATGATGTGCCCATTGGCACAAAAGCACGCCAGACAGACGCTGTTACAGAGGGTGACCACATCTGCTCGCAATAAAAAGGACGTTTCGGTGATGTTGTGGACATAAAGACATATTTGGGAAGGCAATGAGAAGACTTTGGCTTGTTTTTCTGAACAAATGACTGCAAATTGATGATCACCCATATCCTGGGAGGAGGAAGGGGAATGCATGACAAGTTTCCTTTTTCTTGTTTTTTCACCCTCATCAGCACTGTGTGGGTCCCTCCATACTTCATATGGCGGATGTGTCAACGTCCCCATGCAGTCCAAGCACGCGAAGGTCAGCACGGCTCCTTTCAGTGTCAGAACTGTGCCTGCAAAACATGATTTCCTCTCACTGGCACTGGCACCACAATTAAACTGGTTGTCAGTACTGTGAACGCGTGCAGCATAGCTGACATTCAGCTTTTGTAAATAGAGCAAACGGGTTAATCGAGCTAAGGTGACAAGTCTTCCTTGCTGAGTTCTTCCTGACCACACAAGAAAGTGAACAAACAGGCTGCCAGTACCGAAAAAGTCTCAGGCAGCTTGTATCAACTAATCTATATAATACATGCCATTGAATACCATAAAGATAGGCTGTTGTTTATCTCTATGTTATACTAGTAGGGTATTTATTCCCCAGCAGTAAAATTGCTCTCCTTAGTCTGGTGACCTTCCAGCATTATTTTTCTAAACAAACTGGGGGGAAAACCTCTGTTCCTGTGCATCCTCTGGTTTTTGTCATTATTGTACTTTAAACATACTAAGCCCATACTGCCTCTCCTCAGACCTGACCTCTCTCAGCCCTCTGCTCTCTCTGCTACACCATCTGTCACTCACTCAGCCAAGGATCTCTCCTGGTACATCAACCTGCCAACATTTTTGTTTCCTTTCCTGAACTCCCTTCTGCTTCTCTGCACCTTTCTGAGAGTAAGACAGCCAAACTGTTCACAGCATCCCAGGTAGGATTGCATCAGAGCTGTACACAGGACTGTAATTTCACAATATGAAGGAACTCTGCTAATTTCCCTTTCCTCACTGGAAACATGTAATTTTGCCTATGACACAAGGTAATCTTCAGAAATAACACAACCAAAGTGACCCAGTTCATGAAGCTGCGGGTCTCTCACAAGCACCTTTATTTACTCATGTGCCTTCTATGTAGTGAGTGACCATTGCTTGATACATGTATTGAGAAATTTCTGCCCAAAAGGCCATGCAAAATCATGCAGTTATTCCCCCTGTTGTACCAAGACGGATAATAAACAGGAAAAGAGCTGCACTCTTACCACTTGGTGACACCATGACTGGCTCTGACTGCCGTAAATCGTCACTAGCAGGCAGATTAAGGGAGAGGATTAAGACCATACCGAGGCCCGTTCCAACCCAGAGACAGGGGGATACAGCGGAGTCATTCTTTCGGGCAAAGGACTCCATGAAGTACAAAGCCGTAATTGCCTCCTTTGAGTCCCTGTCGATACTGGATACGCTGGAGCTTCGGGAACGGCTGAAGGAGTTTTCCCTATTTTCTGCATAAATAAATACAAGCAAACAGGTGTAAACTGGCAGTCCTAGAAGGGGCACAAGCCTGCAGCAAATACAAACTCCCTGTAGAGTACAGAAAATACAGAGTTTTCGTAACCTGAGCAAACATTCTGGTACTAGCATGATACCAGCTTGCTGCCGATGTATAAATAAGCATCGAAAATGCTGTCAGACCTCATCAGTTAGATCTGCATTAGAAATAGCTGCTTATTATGGAGATTAGCATAGACTAATTAGAATTTACAACAGCCTTAGCTCAAAGGACTTGTTCTAAAGAGCATGAAATTTAGACCCATATGTTACCAATGCATTTAAAATTAATCCATGTATCTCATTGCTGCAGGACATGAAGGGAGACACCATTATCAACTTCAGAGCATGTGTCCTTTGCTCTGCTCTTTTTTCCATCGCTAGGACGTTCTAGCACTGCGTTCACAGCCATCGTTTATTGTCAAGCTATTAATAACTGCCCTCTGAGGGAAAGACATCCATCGCTAAACTGATCCCAGCATCCAGAACGTCTCAGGATACAAATCAACTCTGGCTTCCCAGGGAGTAAAGTCAGAAACCCGCTCTGCGCCCTTGGCAACAACTGCATAGTGAGCTGCCTAAGCTTTAGCAGGCAACAGCGAGAGCCAGCTGGAGACAGAGCTGTATTGTCCTCACTGCAAATACACAGGTACGGAGACACTCTCTGAGCTTTTCAGAGAGAAATAACAATGAACAGGGTCTGACTGCTGTAGGGCTAAGGATCTCTGCTTTGCTTTGCCTAGTGCCAGGCAGGAGGCACAAAGCTGTGCAAGGGAGCTCCTGGCATTAGCAGAACTGTCGGTGGCAACACACTGGAGGCTACAAAGCACACTGAGGCTAAAAAGTTATTGAAGAGTAAAGGAGCCAGAGGGAGGAAGAGAGTAGGGCTGGCTGCTAGCACAGTCTTTGCAAAACAATTTGTGCCTGTGCTGCCATCTACCATCCTGGAGTCAAAGATAGGGCTAGATCATTGGAAACCTCACATGCTTTTCTGCAACAATAACAACTACAGGACCAGGAAGTTCTGGAGATGGAGAAGTAGTTGAAGCTATTGGACCTGCGATAAAAGGCTCACTACTGAATTTATCATTATGAAGTAGATCTGCGTCTGGTATGAAATTATCCTTCTTATAGCTTAGAAGAGAGCTGTCTCTTCAGAGCCAGTAGAAACGTCTAAAAACAGGAACACTTTCTCCCATGGTTGAAGAATAAAATTAGAAAAGGCCTTTCTCACGTACTCCAATTTAAAACTCAGCTAAGCCTCATATTGTATGTATGGTTCCTGTGCTCCACCAGAAGCAGCAGTTTTGCTGGTGAATCTCTTCCTCAGACAGCGTACTGCAGCATTGGACAAGCTCGAGAAGTGGGCC